GGCGTTGCCACAGGCCCAGGGAGTTCCCGGCAGGGAGTATGTGTTGGCCAGGTTCTGGCTTGAGACGTAGCCCCTGGGGGTCTGTGTCTCGAAGGCGAACGGCAGACTCTTCCCTGGTTTCTGGTCAGATCCCCTGTTTCTCACAGGCAGGTAGCAGTACCTGTACTTGCCTTTTGCGCTCTGTGAGTATGCTTGATTGGCCCCAGGATTTGTGGGTCATGATTGAGGTATTAGGTTGCAGTTCTGTGGTTGGCAGCTCTCCTATTTCCCTTCCTGACCCTGTCCACACAGTTGTGGCCAGTGATGCATGGTAGTATGAACCCAGAGCTGACATCAAGGCAATGTGGTGTCTTACTTGTTGTATAGAATTGAAAAGACATTGTGCTGACCTGTCATAATGTGATTGCATCGTAAGATGTGCTGTCTTTTGTTTTCTTGATGCTGTCATCGTCTTTCCCCCGGTGTGTTTGGCCCTGTGGGGGACTCCCAATTGGTGCATTGCACGTAATGCTTCATGTTTTGTTATGCTGTGCTGCTGTGCATGACCTTGGCTGTAGTTGGAGTCTTACTTGCTGAGTTCTTGCTTTCAGTTGTTCTGTTCCTAGTGCCCTGAGGACGTCCACAGGAAATTTGTGGGGCCAGTGTTCTTTTCTCGTCTCTGTCCTCTTTTCTCCGAATTTCAAGAAGTGTATGTTTTCTCAGGTTGTCCAGGTTTGTTTCTTTTCCCAGCCCACATACACTTTCCCGAAGGTTGAATTTTCTCTGAGGTCTGCATGGAAACTCTGGGGTCCGTTGCCATGTCAAAGACTCTCGTATTAGGGACACGAAAGTCTCTTATTTGAATCATTTTGTAATTCTTCCTGCTCTTTTCTCTGGCTAAATCATTCTTCTTTTGTTGGATAACTGTGGGGATCCAAGGACAAGCAAGGGCTCAACTGCCCTTTGACTGCAAGACAGTGCTCCCATGCAAAGACCCTCTGGTCTATGGCAATTATGCCCTCAGGTGTTAGAACTCCTGCAGTGTTCCGCATTTCAGGCTATCTTTTGTCTTCTCACGTTGCACCCCCATCAATGACACTTTGGTCCAGATTGAATTGTGATTCAAATTTTTCTCTGACGTAACCGTGTTGAAGGACCCTGCTTGGAAAAATGCATGATCCAATGGGAAGTGACCTACTTCCAGTAAGCATTTTGCCCTACAACTCTTGGCCTTGGAACGTTTCCCATCCTGTTAAGATTTTCTGTTTTCCAAATGAAAAGATTTTGCCTTGGCTTTGAGGAAGACGACGGAGTGTGCTTGTGAATTTCAGTGGTCCCGTTCATGTGGACATCTTCTGCACTTTGGTCAGTGTCCCTGAGAAGCCCCTTTTGATGGTGGTGACCTCATGATCTGGTGGCTGTTGTCTTTCAGCCAAGTACAGTTTCCTTGTGAATCCTTCCAGAGAATATGTGTCCACCTTTTTTCAAATCTGTTGTGAGGAAGTATATATGGAAAGAGTAGATTAGTTCCCACGGTAGGTAGTGGGTTTTATTAAGACATATCTACGTTATTTAGGTACCTGCACATTGTTCCAGTTCACATCCTTCTGATTTTAGTCATTGTTCTTCAGAAGTGTGATTACCCAGTGTCAATCCAGGAAGCTTTATATAGCAAGTCCTTTTTAAATTGATGAATTACACCCATACATAGCTGCCTTCATACACACATGCATCCTCTTCTGCTTTTTTTTTCCTTTGGCAAATTTTTCCAAAAAAGTCATAATGGAATTGAACGTTGCTATGTTCTCATTTGTTTTCCATATGCCCATTTGTTTACTGGAGCTTCAAAGCTGAATATTTTTTATTTGATAGTGAAATTATACTTCCATATATTTATACTACTACTTTACTTTTCTGTGTTTGACTTTCATTAGATTATTATACTTTTTCAAATGACTTAATATACAGAAATCTTAACTTCTCCTTATCACATACAGATATTTACTGTTTCTTCTTTTTAGACTATTTTCTCTTGTTTTAAGATTAGAGAAAATCAATTGATCCATACTAAGTTCACTTAATAGCTTAATTGTTATGTCCGATCTAATAATGAGCCTATCCAGTGAGATTATTATATCTATTGTAAAGTTTTCTGGTTTTTTTCATTTTTTTGTTTTTTTTTACAATTTTTATTACTTACCTGAGATTCTTTACTTTTTCCATTTGTTTTAAGATACTTTGTAGTTACACTGTAAACATTTTTATCATACTATTTTTAAATCCTTCTCAGATAACAACATCATTTGTTTAATCTCTTGTTGGTTTCTTTTGATTTTATCTTCTCATTCTATTCATGATTTTCCTGTTTCTTGTTTGATAGGTTATTTCTTATTTCACCATTGACAGTTTTTGCTATTGGGTTAGACGTACCTGAATTCTATTCAAAATTTTTCTTTTAGCACTCATGCACCCCGTTTAGGTTTAATACAAATGTCTTGTCCTACTTTTGTAGGCTATGATTTCAATGGCAGTCTAATTGTCAGAGTTGTTATGTGGTGCTGTTTCGGTCACTAGTTTTGATGGGCCTCCATGTAGCTCCTACTAGTGCCCCCAAAGGTGTCAGAATGTTTTTCCTAGTCCAGGATGCCTATGCATCTAATTGGGGGAAGAGAGACTCCAAAATACAGAAATGAAGAGTTCCTGTTAGTTCAGGCAGCTCAATAACTTGAGGTAACCTGACCTATGTCACCCAGTTGATAGCCTCTTGAGGTGCAGAAGGAGATTCTCCAGTCTGGAAAACTTTGAGGCTGTGCAAGTGAGAATGCCTGCAGTGTAGGGATCCCTAGGCTAGTTGATCAGTAAATGTCTGTGTTACAAATCTTGGCTCATTTTTGCTCTATTTTTACAGTTCAACATAGAATCAGCACTGGTTTTCATATGAAAGAATTTTTTTTTTCACCTTGACAAGTAAAATGATGGAGACTAATTCTGGCATCTAAAATTCACTGTCCAGTGGGAATTTTCACACTGGTAAGCATTTTGTCTTGAGAAGACTGATATTCCACTTAGGACATTGTAACACTCAATGACAGTAAGACTCTGACCATGCTAGTCAACTGTGAGGCTGAGTTATTGACTGTGATGATTGGTCTCCATGATTGGAAACTGTGGGTCACTGTGTCTGACAGTGTCAGAATCCTGAGCGCTCAGTGTCTGCCACATATCTCAAGATCAAGGTCCCTTTTACAAATGTGCCTGGATCAATGATGACTTCAAAAATGGATCTCGTTGGAATATGAAAAAATGAGTGACAAAATCACTTCTGTGAGCTGAAGTCCAGCACAAGGGACCATGGTATGCAAAAAATATGGAGAGAGTTCAATTGGTCAAGTAGTAGTACCAACAGGGACTATAGTATTTAAAAGTCAACCTGATTGCATAAATTAGAGGAAATGAATTTTATAGTTGTCTATAATTATCTGATTGTCTGGTTTCACATTTAATTTGCTTGGCAGAAAATATTTGACAATATTTGCTCTGATGCGGACTAGAGACTAATACAATGAATATTGTTGGAATAACATCGGAAACATCTTAGGAGAGCAATACATTAGGTTATTTAACTTGGGGGTGCATTATTGAACCCTACTTTCTTGTGCCTGGCAGACCAATGGGCACATTTACTTTTCATCTTTCCACATTTTACTTTATTCTCACAGGTAGCATGGATCACGTATTGGGTTTCATATGAAAGAGATGTGACTGAATGAGAGTATTGAGAATAAGTCTGCTTTCTTATCATTGAGGTCCATTCTCAAATCGGTAAGCATTTTGTCCTGAAAATACTGACATTTCTCTTAGAGATAATGTAATAGTCCAATAAAAATAAGTGTCGGAAAACGCTATTCAAACATGGAGCCTTGGGAATTGAATGTGTTTTCTGGTCTTCATGACTGAATAGGGTGGGTCATTGCGTCCAAGGGTGATGCACTCCTGAGTGCTTGGTCTGTTGCTTAACTGAGGTTTAAAGTACCCCTTTTATAATTGTGCCTGGATCGACGACGACTACAATAATTGATCTCAGAAAATCTGAACAAAATGAGTGACCTAATCACTTCTGTGAAACTGAAGTCCAGCACAGACACCCACCCTAAGCAAAATATATGGATGGAGAGTGCAATTTGTTCAGATTTGTGGTACCAACAAGGACTGCTGTACTTGAAAGCTAACCTACTTGTATGCATTTGATGAAATGAATTAGGCAGAGGTCTATACTTCTACAGTTTTGAGATAAGATGGAAACTCTTTGAGTGCTTACTTGGCAACATAAATACCCTTGTAGAAAACAGACCCTGGAGAACCAGCACATGAGTGGTGAAAATGTGGGGTATGGCTATGCTTACACACATTTGTCTGAGCTGCTGGAATCTTCTGAATGACAATCAGTCTGTTAAGGGCAATTAGATGGTCAAAATCCAGTGAGATTATGATTTTCATTCTTCATTTCTATATTAAGAGAAGCAATTAAATTAAAGCATAGGTGCTGTACTTTGGAATGTCTTCACAGAATATTTTAATTTGCTTGCCAACCCAGTCATAAGTATTTCACCAGTTGTTTAGTTGTCTCTCTCTGTTTTTTTTCCCTGTCAACTGAGGAATCAATTTCATGTACATTTGATAACTGGCTTCAATTATATTCTGTATTAAACATTTTTAGATATGAAATCATTATATTTAAAATTCTTGCATTTTTATAAGATTTCATTGACTACTTTTTATATGCCATCATTGTGTTTCAAATGTGCTTAGGAAAGATCCTAGTTGTAATGCATGGTTCTGAGGTGTGTGAGCTGGGGAACTTTGAGACTACTGTCTTATAAAACGTTAATTTGTATACAACCATGTTTCAAGGAGCAAATGTAACTATTCTGGTGATACAGGTGGTCAAGTGAATATCTATGGTGAATTTCATGTACGCTTTTATCATTTAACATTCTATTAAGATTTTGTTTCTCAACTTTTTTATTTCTCCTTTTGCTTTGTAGATTGGACATATTGTTGAATGGAAGGTACATTTTGCTACATGAAATTCTTTCTCACCACCACATCAAAGAAGGGCTGCTTTTGTCATTGGTAACAGCTTTATTATCTAGGAAGGACAAGAACAATATAGTCCAGAGATAACATCCCAATTTTCAATAAATGTTTTGTAGGATTATTTTTATTACTGCTTTTAACACTCCAATGACAATGAGACTCTGGCATGCTAGTCAGCCATGAGGCTGGGTCATTGACTATGAAAATCGGCCTCCATGATTGAATAGTTTGGGTCATTGTGGCCTCGGGTGATAGAATCCTCAGTGCTCAGTGTCTGCCACATATCTCATTCTAAAGGCCCCTTTTATAAACGTGCCTGGATAAATGATGACTTCAGAAATGGATCTCATTGGAATATGAACAGAATGAGTGACAAAAATCACTTCTGTGAGCTTAAGTCCAGCCCACAGACCATGCTAGGCAAAAATGTGGAGGGGAATTTAGTTTGGTCAGCAAGTGGTACCAAAAAAAAAGGATTATGGTGTTGGAAAACTAATATGCTGGCATACGCTAGAGGAAATGCTTTGTAAAAAAGTCTATAAATAACCAATTGTGGGATGCTATGACCACTTTTTGGGTGCTTGGCTGCCACCATCTACACACCTGTGTTAAATAGACCCTGGGGAACCACCACTTGAATAATAAGTCTCATGAGAAATGGGTGTGCCTACACTTGAGCCATTCACACATTTGTCTGAGCTTCCAGAATCTTCTGAGTGATAATCGATGTCTCTCTAGTGTAATTAGGTTGTCAAAATCCAAAGATATCATGAACTTTTATTTCTCCTTTTCTATTAAGTTTATGTAAATTAAAGAGTAGATACTCTACATGAACTCTTCACAGTGTATTTTAATTTGGTTCCCAACCTAGTCACTAGGATTGGAACACTTGTTTCTTTATTTTTCATTTTTTCTATAAACTGAGGAAGCGATTTCATATACATTGGAGTGCTGGCTTCAACTACATGCTACATTAAACATTTTTAGATGTGAAATGATTATATTTCAAATTCTTAGATTTTTCATGGATTTCATTGGCCACTTTCATATATTCTCAAGATTTCTGTGTTTAAAGAGACATCCTAGTTATAATAAATGATTTTGCAGTGAGTGTGTTGGGAAAACTTTGAGACACATATCTTAGAAAAAATTATTTCTTTACTACTGTGATCAAATTTGTGGGCATAATTGTTCTTGTCATCATATGGTCTAATGAATATCAATTATGAATTCTTATAACTAAATATTCCATTAGGAAAATTTTATTTTACAACTTGCCTAATTTCCCATGTACTTTGTAGATTGGATGTGCTATTAGAATTCCTTCGAATCTCATCACCACACCAATGAACTGTTGATTTTGTCACTTGTACCACCTCCTTTATATGGGAAGGAATAAAACAATACTTTTCTGAGGTAACATCCGATTTTTAGTGAATTTATATTTCTGGGTTATTTTTATTATTTTTTAAGTAATCAAAAATTTAATTGAGTTGGTGAAGAATCAGTTAATACAAACAATATTATTAATGTTAATCTGTTGAGATATCTGAGGCTTCAGTCTCCTTTATGTTTAAAATTTTACACTTTTTCTACTTTGAATAACTGGAAACATCCTAGAGGAGTAATAAATTAGTACGTTTTACATAAAGGTATATAGTGAATCCTCCTGTCTGATATAGTTTTGACAAACGGACATGATTACCTTTCATCTTTCCACATTTATACTTTTTCCACAAGTTGATGTGGACCAAGAACTAGGTTTCATATGGAAGAGTTATTCCTTCTCCTTGATATGTGACATGAAGGAAAACAGTGTGAATTGCCTCACATCCTCAAGGGCTAGTGGGAATTCTTACAGCAGTAAGCATTTTGTCCTGAAAATACTGACATTCCTCTTAGGGAATCATAACATTCCAGTGGCAATAAGAATCTGGCTATGCTAGTCAGCCATGGAGCTGGGTCACTGACTGTGATAACTGGTCTCTATGATTGAATAGTTTGGGTCAGTGTGTCCCCGGGTGAGAACGCTGAGTGCTCCGTGTCTGCCACGTATCTCATTCTAAAGATATATTTTATAAACGTGCCTGAATCAATGATGAATTAAAAAAAATGGATCTTGTTAGACATCTAAACAGAATGAATGGCAGATTACTTCTGTGAGCTGAGCTCCAGCACAGGGATCATACAAGGCAAAAACTGTGTGGAGAGTTCATTTGGTCAGGTAGCAGTACCAACAGGGACTGGGGTGTTTGAAAGCTAACCTGATTGCATAAATTAAGGGAAATTAATTGTACAGTTGTCTGTAAATACCTAATTGTGGGGTAAATGGCAACATTTTATATACTTGGCTGGCAGCATCCATACACTCATAGTAAACAGACCATGGACAACCAGCACATGAGTAGTGAATGCTGCGGAAAATAGTTGTGCCTACCCTTGAGTCATTTACACCATTCCCTTAGATACTGCAATCTTCTGCATGAGAAGCAGTCTATTGAGGCCTATTAGATAGCCTATTTTAAAGAAGTTATCATCTTTACTTGGCAGTTATCTCTTAAGTAAAAGAAATATATGGAAATTTTACAGTACTTTTTATTCCTGTGAATGTTTTACAGTGTGTTTTAATTTAGTTGCTGATAAAGTCACAAGAAATGGAATAGTTTTTTTTTCCCCCTGTCATCCAGGGGCAAATTTTCTAGACATTTGAGTGAGGGAATGAGGTAGATGCTATATAAAATATTTTTCAATTGTGAAATAATTAAATTTCCAGTTGTTGGTTTTCAAGGGGGATTTCTTTGGCTAATATTTCTTCAGCCAATTTCATTTATTTCATTGTATTTAAAGGGGAATTATAGAGAGGAAGTCAAGATGGCGGCGTAGGCAGACTCTGAACTCACCTCCTCCCACGGACAC